CATACATGGCACAAAAGGGTTGGAATCAAAACAGAGATAATTGGAATCATAATAAGAAGGGGAACTATCAGTGGCAAAAATCATTTGATTTAAGAGGAAAAGGGATTCATTCAAGGTGAGAATTCAAATGTGAACAAGGCCAGTGGAGGGCCTTTCTGTTGCAGGTAATGAGACAAGCAAAGTTGGTTTTCAGCAAGGCATTTTTAAGGAAAATCAGAAAAGTCATGGTTCGAATGAAGCAACGAAAGATGTTCCCATATGCCAGATTTGTGGGAAAGGTGGGCACACTACCCTTAAGTGCTATAATTGGTTCAATCACTCATTTCAAGCAAAGATATTTCCAAAGCACTAGCAGCAATGACAATTGCAGATAGCCAAGACTTTGCCTGGTTTCTAGATACTAGAGCCACAACTCATATGACCTCTCATGCTGGTAAACTTTTTAACTTACAGCCTTATAAAGGTAGAGATGGTGTTATGGTAGGAAAAGGTCATACACTTGACATCACACATATTGGTGATGCTCAGGTCAAAGGAAAACCTAAACCAATTACTTTGAAAAATGTTTTGGTGCTGTAGGAAATAAAAAAAGATTTGCTTTTAGGTAGCCAACTTACAAATGACTTACCACTTATGTTTGAGTTTAATTCCAATAGTTTTTTTTTATTAAGGACAAGAGAACTCAAAGGATAATGGCGATGGGCCATAGAAAATGGGGTCTCTATGCATTAGAAGAAGGAAAGGCAACATTGTTCTCTCATCGTTTTCAGCAAACTACAAGAAAGGGTTGGCATAAGCGGCTAGGACATCCGCACAATAAAATTGTTGATTTCCTTTCTAAGAAGAACTTTATTTTTATGGATTTTGCAAATAAGTCGCATTCTATACGTAAAAGTTTTCAATTAGGGAAATCTTCTTGTCTTCCCTTTATCAATAGTGATGAGTCTTGTACTAAACCATTTATGAAAATCCATTGTGACTTGTTAGGGCCAACTCCAGTTTGTTCAATTGAAAATTATCGTTATTATGTAATCTTTGTGGATGATCATACACGGTTTACTTGGATCTATTCTTTAAGAAAGAAAACTGAATTTGTGGATTGCTTTGCTAATTTTTGTAATTATATGGACTATCAATTTGGATCACAAATAAAAGTTTTTCAATTGGATGGTGGATAAGAGTTTATCAGGAATGGATTTCGTAAGTTACTTGCTGATCACGGCAAAATTCATCAGCTTTCATGTCCAAATACACCATAAGAAAATGGACTTGCTAAGCGCAAGCATTGAAAATTTGTGAATTGGGACTAACTATGATGTTTCATGCAAAAGTTCCCAAATGGTATTGGCTTGACTGTTTTACTACCACTGTTCATCTTATAAATAGATTGCCAACCCCAACTCTTAAAATGGACTCACCATACTATAAGTTGTTTGGTAAACACCCTAATTATTCTAGCTTAAGAGTTATTGGGTGTAGGTGTTTCCCATAGTTGCGGGATTATGCTAAAGATAAGCTTGAACCCAAATCTTTGCCTTGCATCTTTCTAGGTTACAACACATCATACAAAGGTTACAAGTGTCTCTACCCACCTACTGGGCGAATATATATATGTCTCGACATATGTTATTTGACGAAGAATGCTTGCCCTTTTTTGATCCGACAGCATTGTATGGCCCTTATCAAATTCAGGGAGATCTTTACTCCTACAATGAGTGGTTAGATCCTATTGCCACACATTTAGAAGAATCAAGTCCTCAAACTAATCCTATTCCATCTTCTTCTCAATGTAGTGTAGGTGATACTAAGGTAGACCCTACTATTAGATTCATGCTCAACAACTCTAGACCTGCTGCTCTTATTGAACAATCTCGTTGTGAGGTTCTTGATGACTCATTTAACAATAGCTCCCTTGATGCTTCCACATTGCAAAATAGCACTCATACCTTAGAAAGTGTTGCTCTCCCTGGACCTGCCATCAATAATTCTACACCATCTCTTAAAGTTTTTCCAAGTTGTCCCTTTTCTACTACTGAAAATGTGCATGATCCTTCTCCTATCATGGCACCTTCACCTTTAATCCCTTATGAATCAGCAGATCACTTTAGTTTCAATGATAGACCTTCATCCTTATCATCTCTATTGTAGTCAAATGATCAACACTTTGCCTATACTGAGCCACTTGTAGTACAAAAGATTGTGACTCGATCACAAAATGACATCTTCCAACCAAATCCACGGTATGCTTACTTGACTACTTCCTTTGATTCAATTCCATGTGAACCAAAGACTGTGAAATCAGCACTCAAACATCATGGATGGGTTGTGGCTATGAATGAAGAAATAAATGCTCTCAAAGAAAATCAGACATGGGAACTTGTCCCTCGATCAGCCAAGATGAATGTTGTGGGATGCAAATGGGTGTACAAGTCGAAGCTGAAGTCGGATGGGTCACTTGACTAACTAAAGGCCCGCCTAGTGACAAAATGATTTAACCAAAGAGAGGGGATTGATTTCTCTGAAACTTTCTCTCCTATAATAAAGCCAAGGAGTATATGGACAGTCCTCACAGTAGCAGTTGTTCGAAGATGGCTTATTCAACAACTTGATGTCCAGAATGCTTTCCTTCATGGCAATCTACAAGAGCTCGTGTTTATGGAACAACCTCCTGGATTTGTCAATTCGGTACATCTAACTCATGTATGTCGTCTCAAGAAGGCACTTTATGGGCTTAAGCAAGCTCCAAGGGCTTGGTTTGATAGACTTAGCTCATTTCTTCTTGGCATGGGGTTCTTTTGTAATACGACTAATTCATCATTGTTTGTATGCAACTCTCACCATGGCACACTTATTCTTCTGTTATATGTTAATGATATGATCCTTACAGGAGGTTAGTCGGGCTTTATTGATTGGTTCATTGGCATGTTAGGCCATGAGTTTGCTATCAAAGATTTAGGCATGTTACACTATTTTCTGGGTATTGAGTTCAGTCCTTATCAGATGGGATCTTCTTATGTCAAGCCAAGTATAGTCGTGACCTTCTTGATCGAGCATTAATGAAAGATTGCAAGGCAATCTCAACTCCCATGGCGTCTAAAAGTTGTGCAACAACATCTAATAATAATATTTTTTCAGACCCCACATTTTATAGGAGTATTGTTGGGGCATTACAATATCTCACATTTACCCGCCTAGATCTGTCCTATAGTGTCAACTTTGCTTGCCAATTTATGCATGCTCCAACAATTGGTCACTACCAAGTAGACAAGCGAATATTAAGATATGTTAATGGCACTCCTGATTTTGGTATGCAGATTCTTACCTCCAGTACCTTAGACTTATATGCATTCTTTGATGCTGATTGGGTTGGCTGTCCCATTACAAGATGATCTACCACTGGTTTTTGCACATTCTTGGGTGGCAATTGTCTATCATGGAGTGCCAAGAAACAAAGCCCTGTTTCCAGATCAAGTGTTGAGGCAGAGTATAGGTCCATGGCTTCTACCACAGCAGAATTAATGTGGTTGACTTATGTGCTTCGTGACATTGGAGTTTGTCTCTCTAAGCCGCCAATCTTATATTGTGACAATATCAATGCTTTATACATGACAGTAAATCTCGTTTTCCATGAGAGAACCAAGCATATAGAGTTGGACTATCATTTTGTACGAGAAAAGGTTGCGCCTAGTAGCTTGATTACACGGTTTGTCTTATCTAATCAATAGTTAGCAGATATATTTACCAAACCATTGGGCCGCCAACAATTTCACAACTTATGATTCAAACTGAGCCTTTTGTCGTGTCCAAAGCTTAGTTTGAAGGGGAGTGTTAAGGAAATGACTTCTTGCCTGCCATATTTAGAAGATGCTAAGGTTATACTAGTTGACCAACATGATGTGAATGATGACAAAGACTCCTTAAATCAAGACACTACGCTACAAGATCTTTAAGATATCAATCTGTTGACCTGTAAATTAATTCAATTACTTTGTAAATTGATTCAATCTCCTTTAATTGTCTCGATTATGTAAATCTCTCCATATTTGTATTCTTCTATTTATATTGAAATATAACTCTCTCTAATCTGATCTTGAATGAGAGATTTCTAAAGACTATTGAATTGTTTTAGGACTCGAACTTGAGAGACCATGTAAACTTAAATCCTTATTTACTCTTTTACTGTCAGACTAACTAGTAGTGGTTAAATTTATTTATTTATTTATAATATCTTCCACATAACTAGTGACAACCCTTGTGTGTTTTGTGCTCCATACTCATATATAAAATGCATAATACTATATATACAACTTTTTTATACAATAGTTCTTATATAACATGTCGCAAAAGATGATTGACTGATTTTAAATTAAAAATAAACTTTTACTGAATTATCTTTTATCGCATCAAGTTGTAAGAGAAATATTATATATATTTATAGTATTAATATATGAGTATGAGTAATATTACACTTATAAAGAAATTTTACAAAGATCTTCATACAAAATGATGTGATAAAAAATGAATGGAAGAGTGAATTTAATAAGTTTGATTTTTTATTTTACTCTTTCATTTATTTTTTATCACCTCGTATGAAATCTTCGTAAGATCTTTTTGTAATATATTATTATTGTTAATATATTAAAATGGAGTTAGTATTAAACCCCATCGCGGCAATTATATAAAGATAAGACATCTATAACGAAAGTTATAAACTATTATTTTTTCCATTAAGATAGGACAAAGGTTCTCGATTATATATGTGACTAGTAAATTTTAAGTAATATAATATTTCATATGTGTTGGCGTGACACGTAAATTTACATGATTCCTCTAACAACTAATACGTGTTACCTAGAAGTTTGCAAACCACCTTTCAACACCAACACTCTTGAAAAATAGTCAAATATTAGATGATGATAAAGCCTGACATTATGCTCATCTCATCACCCCAATAATCAATCTCATAGTAGCCCTATGTAAATTAACCCATATTAGAGCCCTTCATTAGCTGCTAATTAAATCAACTAATCTCTATGGCCAAAACCTTCTTTGTTCTTTCTCCTTTTCTTCTAATTTTCTCTACTCTCATCTCTGCAAACACTAGCCAATATTTCTCCGAAACCCTAGCTCCATCTTCTCTAGGGCTCAAACAAGAGAAGCTAACCCACCTTCACTTCTACTTCCATGACATAGTCAAAGCAAAACACCCAACAGCTCTCAAAGTTACTCAAGCGGCCACAACCAACATGTCGGCAACTTATTTTGGTGCCGTATGGATGATGGATGATCCGTTGACGGTTGAGCCTGAGCTTGACTCGAAGCTTGTGGGAAGAGCACAAGGGATCTATGCTTCTGCATCACAAAGTGAGATAGGGTTTTTGATGGTATTAAATTTTGCTTTCACTGAAGGCAAGTTCAATGGAAGTACTTTGAGTATTTTGGGTCGCAATGCTATTTTTTCTACCGTGAGGGAAATGCCGATCGTTGGCGGCAGTGGCGTTTTTCGATTTGCTCGTGGCTATGCTCAGGCGAGCACTCACTTCTTTGATGTGAAAACTACTAATGCTATTGTGGAATATAATGTTTATGTCTTTCATTATTATTGAATCAAATTTTAATATAAAGTTTTTGAACAAAATGGATCATGGACTTTGTACATATGGATCTTGGACAAAAGAAAAGGCAGGAACAGGATGATGATGTGATTTGATTGATAAATTTGCAGACAGCCACTTCTTGTGGACACAATTTCTCAAATCTTTAAAGAAAGTATAAGAGCTCAAAACTAGCATCCAAAATGCATATTATTATATATAATATGCATTCACATAATTCACTATATATATATACAAAACTAGCATCCAAAATGCATATTATTATATATAATATGCATTCACATAATTCACTATATATATATATATAGGTTAATTAATGTTTTTATTAAAAATTATATGACAGCTACATTCACCTAATTCACTATATATATATATATATATATATATGTTACATTGAGAATGCCAGAATCAGGACTCTCCATTTAACAAAGCACAAATTAAGTCAAGTCAAACTTAAGAGATTAAATCATTAAATAAATTATAAAGTCTTTGTCAAGTAAATCGTTAATTTGATAAGGGCGATGGTACTTTAGACATTAAATCAAGTTTTTTCAATTTTTTTTTTTTTTTTATTATCTCGTTCTGTCGTTGATATGTGTACAAAGAGGTGAGTGACTATACATGTCGAGAGGAGAGTGAGAGCAAAGTAAGAAAAAAAAGAAAAAGAACAATAATAAACTAAAATACTTTGTATATAAAATAACGTGACAAAATAGATTGAACAGCAAAGACGAATAATTTGTATATAAGAGTTTGTTTATACATTAAAAAAAAAAAAAAAAAGATAAAAGAGGAATGTTCGAAACCCTTTATGCAGCTAAATTATACAATAATGTTATAGGAGAGTTATAATTTAAGGTTAATTCTGGTGACTTCTCTGAGGATTGCCTTAGATCGAAATCTTAGGGGATGTCATCGCAAATTTCTAAACTATAGGGGTTTTGATAAAGTCTGATGAGGTCAAATGATAGTAAAAACATTTAACACATCAGAATGAATAGAATATCAATGTAGTCCACAAGGTTTGAGGTATATTAACACGAATTAATTACATTTACCCCCTTGTAGTTCCAATCTACTAATAGTAGATATACCTCGGCAATTAACAGAGGTTAGCATACATAGGGGCAAAACGGGTAGTTAACACATATAAATTATATAAATTTCAGAACAAATAATAAATAAGTAAAAAAAGAAAAAAAGCTAAACATTCAATCTAATCCTTTCTAAAATTATTCTGGTGGAGGCTAAAGTACAAGGGAAGGAGGAAGTTAACAGTCTCCCAACGCGATGTGCTTCCGTCGATCGCGCAGCGGCCCTTATACGAAAGCCCACCGCCCCAACCCGTCGCTGATCTCAACCTCCAAAACTCCAATCCTACAACGAGCTCTGTTTTTACTTCTTCGCTTTAAATTGATTGTTTTTTCCTTCAAACCCTTCTAAGCTAGCCATGGTGGTCGTGAACTCGACTCAAACTGGCAATTTGTCCACTAGCCAGTAACCCCTTCCCTGTAATAAAAGGAATAATAAAATATTTGCTAAGTAATTTAAAAAAATTAATTAAATGAAATGACAGAATTGCCCTTACGGCGTTAAAAATGTGGGAAGAATCGGAAAACCGTTTGTTTCAATGTCCATAAAATACCAGAAACTGGAAACCGAAAAATTTTCAAGTGAAAACGCTAATGGGGACGAGAGAAGTGTACGAGGAGAAACTGAGAAGCGGCAATCTTCATCACGATCCCACCATCAATCCCGGTCTGGGTTCGCCTCGCTGCCCGCGTTGTCTCTCTTTGTTAAATTCTAATTCTGTAAGCCGTCTTTCACTCTTTCTATCGCTTTAATTTTCATTATCTTTTATGTTTTAAAACTAACTCACTGAGTTGAGTTAACTTCTTGTTTCAGGACAAGGCTGAGTGGGCCATCACCTCTGTTTTGCACGACGCAACTGCCGTGGTCAGTTCTCGATTCTCAGATTGTTTTAATTACAATTTTATTGACGTAATTTGATGAATTTAATTTGCTGCGTTGCATTTGTTTGATTTTTTTTTTTTTAATATATATGGGGTTTTGTTTGTTTGAGTGATTCCTTGTGTTTTTAGTTTTTTCTGGTGAGTGGGTGTTGCAGAATTGAAAATTATATGCTTTTTGTTAGAAATTTTATGTGCTTTAAGGAGTTTAATTTAATTTAATTTGCTGTATAGCAGTTGTCTTTTTTCAATTTAATATGGTGTTTTATTTATTTGAGTGATTCCTTGTGTTTTTGGTTTTTCTGGTTAAAGGGTGTTGTGGAGAGTTGAAAATTATATGATTTTTTGTTATAAACTTTATGTGTTTTAATAGTTTTATTTCGGATGTTTTTATAATATTAGTTTCATGGCTACTGGAGTTGTGAGGTGTGGCTGTAGTCATCAGTTTCGTGTTGAGATATTAATAGGTTGTCATGAAAAATAAAAAAGGGTGCAATTTGATTTGTCATAATGTATTGAAATTCGACTTTTTGTTGTTTGTGGCGTTAGCTTTTGATGTTGAAAAACATTGTGTTTGTGGTGTAGCCATTACTGATGTACTTTTGTGGTTATATTGTTTTAAGTTTGGCTATCCTTATCTGCCCTGAAATATGATTCTACTACTCTTTATCAATTTTATCTGATTTTGATTTTTTTTTAATAGGCTGGCTCTGGTATTGGTGGAATGCTTAGTGCAGTTCATGGTTTTAATACAGGGATTCCGTTTCTTCAAAATCATCTTAAGGGGCCAAAGTGGGTTCCCTTTGTAACTGGGGTACACATATTTTACTTCCTGAGATCTGTTTCTACTTCTTTCAAAATATAATGTTTTCCCTCACTTCGGATGGCTTTGATTTGTTCTCCTTTGGCTAACCTTCACTACTTATTTTTGTTGTTGGCAGATTCCTCTGCTTCTAATGTTTTCTGGTGCAAGTGCTGCATTTGGAGGTATGAGTTGTGCCTTTTTTCACCAGTTCTAAAATAGTGTGATATAATTTCTTGCATGTTAATGAGAATTTGGCTTGATCTTGGTCCTAAGAATTTGCGTCTTGACATAAAAATAGTTATACATAGTGATTTCTACATGTATAAACTATTAAGCATGAGAAAGGAAATATTGCAGTTGACCTATATTTGGTGTCATGAGGTTAATCTTAAACTAACGACTTGTAGATTTGTTCATTAAATCTTCTCCACTTTTAGGAATGTGAATGATTTGACAAATAAGGGGTAGAAAATTCATAATCGACATATCTTGAGAGAGGTGGAGTTGATTTTTTTCATTTTTATGTTCTATTGTTGGTGGGAATGATCCTTTAGTTTCTTACTTAGCTGGAATATGTTAAATGCTAAGGATTTGTGAGATGCATTTTTTAAAGTTTAAGAGATGCTCCTTCATGTTCTGCGGCTGCTTATTGGTGATTGAAGATGATATAGTTCAGTGGCTTGGTGTGACTTTTGGAAAAAAATTTGTGCCTATTATGTTATCTTTTGACAAAAGTTATATATTTGATTTCTAACTTTTTGTAATCTGTTAATTGATTTCATCTTATTGTTTGATTTGACTCTCTTTGTATGTATCCTACCTGGGACCTACAATCAAACAACTCATTTTGGCAGTTGCTCGATACTATCCCTCTTTTCTTTGTTGAGTGATGGTTCTTTCTGGCCCAAAAAGGAAAAGGCAAAGAATAAAAGAAATTTTTTTATAAATACAAATCACTTGAAGTTTGAACAGTTTTTTTTTATGATTTTTATAAAGTTCCAATTTATTGTTTCAACTTGAATTTTACTATTTGATCTGTTCTCGATACAATTGGCTTCATCAGTTATGTTAATAGATATGTCAAAGTGGCGTAAGTGTGGTTGTGATTCAAATTGGATTTTCTGATTTGATTCGTACTCATCTCGCTATTTTCTTTTGGCTTAATAACATGTCAATTTTGTAGGTTATGCGCTTCCGAAGTTTGCCCAACTCACTGTGACTTCTTACTATGCTGCATCAAGTGCTTCACATTATGGGATTTCACTTTTAACTCGACATATTGAAGAGGCCCACATGTCCAAAACTTGGCAAGAAAGGCTAAGATGATTTTCTTGTAGGTACACAAACTAGAATCTAAATTTCTTAAATATATAAACAATGCTATATATGTGACAACCTTTAAAATAGCTACTTCTCATATACATTTTTTTTTTTTTTTTTTGCATCTTAGAATGTGCTTACATAATAAAAATATTGAGTGAAGTTAAATTTACATCACTGAAATGTCTCATCTATTCAAAATTTATCGGTTCGGTTAATGATTCTGGGGATGGGCTGATAGCGTATTTTATCTGTTCTGTTAATGATTCTGGGGATGGGCTGATAGCGTATTGTTGTTCTATGTGTATGGCAGTTAAACTTGAGTTCACTTAGCAGGTTCGGGTTCGGGTTCAGGAAGAGACTTGCAATTCTTTTAGTAAACGCTTTGTATTGAATCTCTACCTGTCAAAAGAGCTTAATTCTTTCTTTATAATGAAACATCATTGGGTAATTTGTTATTGGAAAACAATTTACATTGACCCAATGATCCGTCCGACGTTTAAATAAAAACTTGAATTTTACAAGTTCTGCTTCCATAAACCCCGAAAAAAATGATGCAAAATGAACCCTTTTGTGTCGTGGGGTCGGAGAGTTGTTATTTAGTCCTTAAAGATTATTTAGAGTTTCTCTGATTCACAGTACAACACAATTAATATCAATACCAGAATAACAGTGTTCCTGGCCTTGGATAACATTGGATTCTATTAGTTCTGTTCTTTTTTATTTTTCTTTTTTGACAAAAAATTTGAAACTTTATACCTGTTTACATGTAAGTCAAACTTATGAATTAATTTCAATCTTGTTTGGATTGTGGACCAGGGAAAGAGGATAGTGAAAGAACAAAAGAAATATCATCCTCCATAACCTGAATTGGTAACCCTTCGATCATGATTTCTAGAATAATCAGAGTCTCAAACCAAAATCGAAGGGCTACCTATCCTTGGTAACCTTCTTAGATGAATTGGTAACCTTTAGATATGATTCAAAGACTGATCATGGAGTTTCAAACCGAAATGAAAGGGTAACCTATCTTTGTAATCATATCAGTGGATTGGCAACAGTTGGATCATGATCTTGCCATCCTGGGACTAATCAATTTTCTCGAGCCAACATCGAAGGGTACTAGTCATTGCCTTTGGATCATAATCCCAAAATTGAAGGGCTACTAGGGAATTAGCAACCCTTGATCATATGATCCCAGGACGAAATGGCATATCGTAGTATATAGAGTTGGACATTTGGGACTAAGTCTAAAAACCCAGCCTAAAAACTCGGTTTTAGGACCGATCCTTGAGAGGATCTATCCTAGGAGGCCTAGTTCCAAAACCGGACCAGGCCTAAGGAGGAGGGCCCATCCTTCCACTAGGCCCTCTTCCAAGGCCCGGGCCTGGGACCAAACCTTTTTAATTTTTTTTAGTCTCTTGTATAATTACATAAAACCCCTTATAAATTTTAAAATAAACATAAATTATATGGGCTAAAAAGAAATTTTACAAAATTAAAAAAAAAAATAATTTTTTTTTTTAACTTTTGTTTAATAACTGCTGGCTACCTGTCAACGGTCATTTTGGGGGGGAGGTTTTTTTTTTTCATTTCCCCCCCACGACTACACTATAAATAACTCCTCAAATCTCTTGTTTTTTCCACACAACTCAATCTCTCATTCTCTCAATCTCTCTACTCCAAATCTCCAATTAAATTTTCATTCAATTTATATTTATATTTATAATTTATTTATTTATATTATTCAATTTTTTCTATTTTTCAATATCATCTCTTATTCGTATTATTATTATTATTTTCATTTTAATTATTTATTATTTTATCATAAATTGGATTCTCGAAATGATGCATTCGGAGGATCATCCCCAAATGAGTTTTACGTTCTATCCACCGAAGAAATAGAAGGGTTCAATCCATTTTCACCCTTGCCTCCAGAGGCAGCAACTGCAATTCCACAGCCACATTCGATCGGGACGAGGTGTAGCCAAATACATACGAGTTGCGAGTCAACGGGCACGGGCATAGCCCAACCCCTTGATCGTCAAAGAGGGTTGTGTTCAATGTATGGTGATATTTCACCAAATTGAAACGGCCAAAGACAAGTGGGGAGGGGGAAGAATTGTGTGGGGTATGTAATTTATGTGGAACTATTATTAGCGCTGAGAAGTAGACTTCGACGATACGACGACACTTGGAGAAGAAGCACCCCCAAATAATGCAGCTGCCCGGTACATCTTCAACCGGATCAGGTAGGCAAATTCAAACTCAACTTAATTTTAATCTACAATCCTCAACTCTCTCAACATGGCAATACAATGCACATGTTGCACGAGAGGAAATAGCAAGATTCATAGTTGTTACAAACTCTCCTATTTGTTTATCTGAAAATCTTTATTTTATTCATATGATTAAAATTGTATTTTGTCCAGCAGATACCCTTGTCAGTAGAAGTACAAGTAGAAGAGATATACAAAAACTTTATAACAAAATAAATTATAAACTTAAAAACGAATTTCAAAATTTTAGGAATATATCTATTGCACTAATATCAGATATATGGGCTTGTGGATCAAAAACCAATTTTTTAACTGTCATAGTACATTTCTTAGATCATAATTGGGATTTACAACAAAAATTGATAGGCTTTAAATCATTATATGAAAAACATAGTGTTGAGACTATTTATTTTACAATTCTTGAAGTTTTGCAAGAATATCTATTAACTGATAGAGTTGTAGCGCTAACGCNACATCGAAGGGTACTAGTCATTGCCTTTGGATCATAATCCCAAAATTGAAGGGCTACTAGGGAATTAGCAACCCTTGATCATATGATCCCAGGACGAAATGGCATATCGTAGTATATAGAGTTGGACATTTGGGACTAAGTCTAAAAACCCAGCCTAAAAACTCGGTTTTAGGACCGATCCTTGAGAGGATCTATCCTAGGAGGCCTAGTTCCAAAACCGGACCAGGCCTAAGGAGGAGGGCCCATCCTTCCACTAGGCCCTCTTCCAAGGCCCGGGCCTGGGACCAAACCTTTTTAATTTTTTTTAGTCTCTTGTATAATTACATAAAACCCCTTATAAATTTTAAAATAAACATAAATTATATGGGCTAAAAAGAAATTTTACAAAATTAAAAAAAAAAATAATTTTTTTTTTTAACTTTTGTTTAATAACTGCTGGCTACCTGTCAACGGTCATTTTGGGGGGGAGGTTTTTTTTTTTCATTTCCCCCCCACGACTACACTATAAATAACTCCTCAAATCTCTTGTTTTTTCCACACAACTCAATCTCTCATTCTCTCAATCTCTCTACTCCAAATCTCCAATTAAATTTTCATTCAATTTATATTTATATTTATAATTTATTTATTTATATTATTCAATTTTTTCTATTTTTCAATATCATCTCTTATTCGTATTATTATTATTATTTTCATTTTAATTATTTATTATTTTATCATAAATTGGATTCTCGAAATGATGCATTCGGAGGATCATCCCCAAATGAGTTTTACGTTCTATCCACCGAAGAAATAGAAGGGTTCAATCCATTTTCACCCTTGCCTCCAGAGGCAGCAACTGCAATTCCACAGCCACATTCGATCGGGACGAGGTGTAGCCAAATACATACGAGTTGCGAGTCAACGGGCACGGGCATAGCCCAACCCCTTGATCGTCAAAGAGGGTTGTGTTCAATGTATGGTGATATTTCACCAAATTGAAACGGCCAAAGACAAGTGGGGAGGGGGAAGAATTGTGTGGGGTATGTAATTTATGTGGAACTATTATTAGCGCTGAGAAGTAGACTTCGACGATACGACGACACTTGGAGAAGAAGCACCCCCAAATAATGCAGCTGCCCGGTACATCTTCAACCGGATCAGGTAGGCAAATTCAAACTCAACTTAATTTTAATCTACAATCCTCAACTCTCTCAACATGGCAATACAATGCACATGTTGCACGAGAGGAAATAGCAAGATTCATAGTTGTTACAAACTCTCCTATTTGTTTATCTGAAAATCTTTATTTTATTCATATGATTAAAATTGTATTTTGTCCAGCAGATACCCTTGTCAGTAGAAGTACAAGTAGAAGAGATATACAAAAACTTTATAACAAAATAAATTATAAACTTAAATACGAATTTCAAAATTTTAGGAATATATCTATTGCACTTATATCAGATATATGGGCTTATAGATCAAAAACCAATTTTTCAACTGTCATAGTACATTTCTTAGATCATAATTGGGGTTTACAACAAAAATTGATAGGCTTTAAACCATTATATGAAAAACATAGTGTTGAGACTATTTATTTTACAATTCTTGAAGTTTTGCAAGAATATCTATTAACTGATAGAGTTGTAGCGCTAACGCTTGATAATTGCAACTGTTAACACTACGACAATCTCTTTATTTGAAAAGAGATTAGATCCGCGTGGTGAAGACAAATTTTTTCACCAGAGATGTGTTTGTCACATCATTAATTTGATAGTTAAAGCAGGTTTAGATGTTATACATTCGAAGATGGAGAGGGTGCGCGTAGCTATCAGATTTATCGTCGCGGTAGCAATAAAAGATGACAAGAGTACGTCAAATATTGTAGGCAAGAAGACCCACCGGTTCGACCTTTGAAGTTATGTACGTACATGTCTATCCGTTAGAACTCCACCTACTTGATGTTAGAAAAAGCTTTGCCAACTACAAAACAAATTACAGATTTTGTCAACCGGAAGCACTATCCAGAGGAAGTTGTCAACTATGATGATTGGGCAGTTTGTGAACTTTTTTATTCATTTCTTAAATTTTTTTATGATTCTACTAATACATTAAGTGATATTTATTATCTGACTACTAATTTAGTGTTAGATATTTTACTTTAAATTGCTAAAACTTTTGCTAAATATAGATATAATGATGTTTTAAGGGAAATTGTTTCAAAGATGGAAGAAAAATATGAGAAATATTGGTTATATATTTCATTCTTGTATGGATTAGGCCTTGTTGTAGATCCTAGGTCTAAATTACACGTAGTTAACTATATAATTATTGAGTTAGACCATCATTTAGGACATGATTATACATCTTATTTGACTGACTTTAAGCAAAAATTGGAAAACATTTTTTCTTTATATGAGAACAGGTACAATGGAAGTAGAAGTGGAACGTTTAGGAGAGACGATCAGGACCTTGATGCAGACCCCCGTGAAGGATCGAGCAAGTGGACGTATATGGAACATGGCGGAAGTAACAACTCTAGCTCGTACATACATGGACCAAATGAGTTGAATCGCTATCTACAAGTGGACCTGTCCTACATGACAATAAAGGAGAAACGTGACATGTATATTCTTCAATGGTGGAACCAACATGAAAGTCGATTTCCCATTGTAGCCCAAATGGCACGTGACATTTTATCTGTGTCGGTTTCTACAATTGCATCCGAGTCAACATTTTCAAGAGTGGTCGGATTGTTGAAGATAGAAGATGTTTTTTAACCAATGAGATGATTGAAGTGATAACATGTTTACGGGATTGGACTCATGCAGAAAGAAGACTACAGCAGCACCTTGAAGATCCTGAACTACTCGAACTCTTTAGGAATACAGATTTGAATGATTTAAATATTGTTGACGATGGAGATAAATAATTTAATAAAAAAATT